GGTGATGGAGATGAGCTGAAACCGAATCACTCGGATATTGATAATGCTTGAATCGCACCTCAGAAGCATTCCAATGCACTCGTCCCTAAACATTCTTGGTTGATGCATGACCACTACTGTTGTACTAGTATGTATCTGCATCTCAACCCTCGAATTTCAAAGGCTTATTCGTATGCAGATTCGATGAGATTCCAAGTCGATCCATGTCCGATCGTGCAATGTGATGCTGTACTAGACTACTCCGTAGTACAAAATATTCCGAGAGTCTCAGCTGCCAAAAAAAAATCGAATCGGTTTCCTTTTCTGGAGGAAAGATATTCCACCATCATGCATTAGTCAAGGAGTGCATCTCGCCTTTCTTCTCGACCTCTACTCTCCTCCCTATGTATACCCGTTGGGTCATGATGGTCTTTTTGAGTAAATCAACAATCGTTCATAGTAACAACCATAGTGTATGTGCACAATGGCGGAACAATATCATTCAATCACCGACGTGACCGCGGAGAAGATGGCGTCCTCTCCCGATGCGGCGCTTCTCGTTGCCTCAGAAGGACAGCCAAGTAACGAGAATGTATCCGAAGAAGAACGTACAGCATTGGAAAGACGCATCCGACTCAAAGTAGACATACGTCTCTGTACCATCGCCGGCATCCTGTGCAGTCTCAACCTCCTTGACTCGGGCATACTCTCATCGGCATCGGTCACAAGCATGTTTGAGGATCTTGACTTGCAAGGGTCGCGGTATTCGGTCTCCATCTTTATCTTTACGATTGCTAGTGTCGTCGCTCAGCTGCCTTGCACTGTTGCCGTGCGCTTGATCGGCCCCCGCGTCTGGTTCGCCTCGATCACGTTCTGCTTCGGACTGATCACCCTGTGTACTGCATTTATCCAGAATTGGAAGCAGATGATTGCCTTGCGTGTACTTCTGGGCTTTGCCATGTCCGGTATATATCCAGGATTGACATATTTGATCAGTACCTGGTACACGCGCCACGAGCAGCAACTGCGCTTTGCATTTCTGCAGTCCGGAGAGGTGCTTGTACTAGCCACGGGCACCATTGTCAACTACGGTCTGAACCGGTTGGACGGGAAAGCAGGGCTGAGAGGCTGGAGGTGGATGTTCCTTGTCCAAGGCCTCATCACCTGTGTCCTTGGCATTATCACCTACTGGTGGATGGTAGATTTCCCCGAGAAATCACAAGAAAGCTTCCGGTTCCTGTCCGGGACGGAGGCCAAAGTGGCAGCGCAGCGTATCCAGGCGGATCGGGATGATGTCGTGCCCGATCCATTCTCCTGGCGCAAGATCCTCGTCAATTTCCTTGACCCAAAGATATACGGATTCGCTTGCTTGTTCTTCCTGCTCAACCTCGTCTCAACTTCGCTCAGTTACTTTCTTCCCATCATCCTCCAGTCGGGAATGGGGTTCTCAAGTAACCAATCGATTCTGCTCTCAACACCGGTAAGTTTGACCTGTTACTGAGCACACGACTATCGCACCTAACCCCCTTCCAGCCATACTACTGGTCCGTCATCCCAGTTCTCTTCACCTCTCTGATAGGCGACACCTATCGCGTCCGCGGGCCGCTCATCACCTTCAACGCGCTGTGCGTGATAGTCGGGTTCCTGATGTTCGGCCTCCCGTCCTCCACCCAGGTCACCGTCAGGTACATCGGCACGTTTCTCGCAACAGGCGCATACGTCTCCAACTGGGCCGCCCTCAACGCCTTCATGGCCAATAATGTCGTCGGGCAGTGGAAACGGGCCACCACTGCGGCCGCCGTAGCTGCGTGCAATGGGCTGGGCGGAGTGGCGGGGAGTTATATCGTTCGGCAGCAGGAGGCGCCGCAGTATGCCACGGCCGTCTGGGTGTCTATCGGGTAGGTATCTTGTTCGCTAAGCCGGAAAGAATCACGTTTGCTAATTTGTATCGTTGTTGTGTAGGTCGCATATCCTCATGATAGCTATCGTGGGTGTCTTCGCGATCTGCTTCTATCGATGCAATCAACAAGCAGCTCGGGGGCGGAGGGTCATTCAGAATAAGGTATGCTCTCATGGACTGGCTTAGTAGGCAGGTCATCCCTGGTCTTTCAGCACTGACTACTCCGTCAGGTCGGATTTCGATACACCTATTGATGATCTACATCTCGTCTCGTCTCGTCGATAATGTTTACATACGACAGCCTGTTAGCTATCACACTCCACTTGAAATAGAACCTCGAACCACTGATGGATTCTGTCTTCTCAAAACAAGGTTGCTCCAATAATAGTTCTCCATACTATCCTCTGATTCTGCTGGCTTGAATACATGCATGCATACATCAACATGGTGTCCGTGGGGTATATGGTAAGTAAGCAAAGGCACCGTGCAAAGAAACCTGGTACATATTAAACATTGCGTAGAAGTCAAAAAATGTAACCAGCCAAGTGAGTTTCGAACCAAGTGAGAAATGAGATATAGTTCACTCAGTTCACGCGGTCCCTCTGCTCCAATTTCCCAACCAGCCGTTTCATTGCGGTCCATTCCTCTGCGGGCACATCCTCCGGAGTGCCACTGAGGCCCTTTCCTACCTCAAAGACAGTGACTACACCATCCAATCCACCGGTTGCGAGCCGCTTGCCCTCGCGTTCTTCCCAGGCCACCTTGTTAAGGCTTCTCGTCAAGATACCGCCACGGCCCCGAGTGGGCGTGGTCCGCACAGCGGGGACTTCGGTGTCCGAGCAGAGATCCCAGACCTCGAGGTTGCCAGCTCCATCGACGAGAGAGAAGACTCCGGGGCGGTGAGGCGACCACCGGGCATCGTAGACTACATCCTCCCGGTTCAGATCGAGGATAGGTGAGACGACTTGAGTGGTCGCAATGGCAGCCGAGGTTGCCGGGGCGGTTGTTGCCGGTGGCCGCACACGCCACAGCTTGACGCTCCAGTCCAGACTAGAGCTCAACATCAGGTCGCCGAGATCAACCGGGCCCTTCGCAGGATGGAAGGCAGTCGACATGACCGGCGCTGCATGGCCACGGTATGCGAGACGTTGGTCAGTGCCAGCCTTGGCCCCGGCTCGATCGTAGCGATGACAAGGGTAAATACCGCCTTCTTCGGTGCCAACGATGAAGAAGGTTGGGTCAGATTGGGGGAACGACATGGTTGTGGGGGCCAGATCCTCTGTTTTGGATGGCGGGGGTGTGGAGAGCTCGAGGTACTCCTGGGGCTGGGAAAGCATATCAACGGTCCATCCACAGACAACGCCGTCTGTGGATGCGGTCAAGATATTGTGCGCGTTTTGTGTGCCTATAATTGAGATGCTGTACACGGGGTGCGTATGCCCGGACCCAGTCAGGGGTGTCTTTTGTACAGGCGCACCACCACCGGCGCGGGACGATCGTGTATCCCAAAGCAAAACCTGCCCAGAGTACGATCCTCCGACGATGAGGTTGGGGTGAAACGGGGAGAATTTGGCCGTCAAGATATCGGAAGTCGAATGGAACACATACTCGGGGCGAGAGTGCAAGTGCTGGTTCCAAACCTGGACTAGGCCATCCGGTTCGTGAGGAGCAGAGGGATTCTTCGTGTATGCTGCCAGGACCAGTTCCGGAAACTGGAAAGTAAGTCAGCCCTGTAAAAGAATCTTCATGGGATATGGGGCGACTGACCTTCGGAGAGAAACTCAAATCACTGATCATGCGTTTCTTGCTCCATCGCTCGTCCCAGAATTGGCAAACCTCCCTGATGCTCTTGCGTTTTCGTCCATGTTCGTCATCCACTTCCAGATCGCCATCAACTCCACCAAGCTCGTAGTCCGCCAGCACGTCGTACTCCTCATCTAGAGCACGCTCGATCACTTTCGCTGAACGTTCAACGAAGTCGAGGAAGTCCTCAGAAGAAGTGACGGCCTTCAGTTCGTCCTCGTCGAGTGTACGCAAGGGATAACGTAGGTTTGTAACCTCGGCTCCAGGCCCATCAACAGCCTGCTGTTGGGTGGCCTGCAATTCCTCCTCAATTTCTCTGCGAAGCTTTCTTCGAATTTCCTCATCGCGTTCGCGGTCCCTCTTGCTTAGGCGTTTGCTTGATCCAGTACCATCCTCAAACTCTCCAGTTTCTGATTCCGAGTCAAAAAAATCTGATCGGCGTTGCTTAGAGTCATCTGTTTGCACTCCCTTGCTGTATGTAACGACTTCTGGTTTAGGTTCAGGGGCAGGCGCAGGTTCAGTAGAGGCAACAAAAGGCTCTGTCACATCGGTCTGAACGGCGATTGACTGCGAAAGCGGTCTCGTAGCAGAATTGAAAGCCTCGGTGTTATCTCCACTCAGCTGGCTAGCACTCAGTACCGAGTTCGGCCTGCTGCCTTTACGTGAGGGGCCGTCTGCATGGCTGATAGAGGCCGATCCGGGGCGATCAACAAGGCGAGAAATCAGGTCATCGAGCTCAGCTCTGCTATCTGAGCGGCTCGGCACAGGCGACACAACCTTTGCGGATTGTACATCAGAATCTGTCTTTTTGTTTTCACGTTCGTGACCAGGGTATCGTACCTCTGAAGCATCTCCGGTGCTGGCCCGACTCTGCGAGAATTCCTTCTGTCGCAGCTCTCTCTGGCGTCTTAGCTCCGCCAGCTTAGCCCTTTTGGCCAGAATTTCCGCTTTACGTTGTTGCACAGATGACATGACGGATTGAGTGAGTGCAGAGGTCAAATTGGTGGAGTCCCCATCCAGACCTACCCCTGGTGTTTACATGCGGCTTCGCGTTCAGATACTCCGTATTCCGTCCCCCGTCCCGCACCCAGAGGAAGGCCGGGTTGGCGGATGACATAAGCGCAGAAGGGGCCGACGGTCCGGAAAAACTCGCGACAAGGACTTCGCCTTGACAAGCCTCTTGTATAGGTATCCCCGTCCGATTGCCTGCCATTGACAGTCGATACCCTTTGAAACGGTTGCTCGGTATCCGGCCCGCTATTCATTCTTTTATTTGGATTCGTTTGCTCGCCGCTTCGGAGGACAGGATCTTCTTAAAATGGCCTCACAAGGTGTTAACGTGAGTGTCCGGCAGGACCCATTATCGATTCCTCGACCATCTATATTGACATGAGTCGGTTGCATCACAGGTTCTGCGCTATTCGGCTCTCGTTGCCGGTCTCATTTATGGCGTCTACCACCAGAACTCGATCACAGCTCAAGCCAAGCAAGCAGAGGCCGACCGTGAATATGCTCGAAAGGAACGCTTGATTCAGCAGGCCAAGGCGGAGTGGAAGAAGAAGACGGCACCCAAGGACACCAAGACAGACAGTGGGGGTATGTTCTGAGAACCGCTCAAAGACCATTACAGTTACCTGGTCTTTTGACTGCCAGCATCATGTGCGACTTCACACTAACTGGTGTGCTACAGTCATTACGGATCCCGAAGACAGCCGGTTCGATCTGGAGGCCTTCCTGAAGATGAAGGCCGGGGAGCAATAGATTCGATATCGTTGAGAATACTGGGATATAGAATGATTGGCGATTTTTCCTCCTTGCGAAGACCGTACCTCCCTATGGTACAAGAAAGATGGCTCGGGTCCGCCCCGAATATGTATTATTGTTTGGTCTAATTCCCACTTTCGTGTTGCGAGCGAAAGGAATGATTTTCTGTTGTTCTTCTAACCTATAGATCTTCCTCCGAGTCTTGTACATACCCCGGGGTGCCGTGCATCTGTACACTACAGTTGGACCAGCAGAGCAAGAAATGTGTGGTTATTCCGGTTTCGCCGCCGCTGATCTCCTCTCTCCCCGGGCGCTATCGACTACTCCGCGCTGGTTGTAAGTGACACCGCATGTAGAGTGCATGTGTAGGAGCAGGAAGCCATCGAAATGGTTCCGTCAAGCTTGCCGGTGGCCACAACTACCGTCTTAATATCTTCTCACGATTTGAGTTGCCATGACTTCAAGCAAGAATTGTAACACTTGTCGACCACATCATCTTTTTCAGCCGGAATGAGATCCAATCAGCGCCATGACCTCGCTCAATCTGTTGGACGAGTATCCAATCTTTGCCGTCGGAGTAATGATGGGTTGGGGATAGAGGAGCTCGGTTTGCTCATCCCATCTCCACCCGTAGGCTGTAAACTTGCTTATGATAGCTGGATCTCCCTGCTTTGCAGCGGTTGCGTCGAGGCCAAGGTAGTTTGCAGCCGCATCAGGACGTATCGCTTCGTAGGCTCGGCTGACTTCCTTTAAGGTCTTTTCCTGAAAATGAACTAACGACAAGGGTAAGACTTCAGCCAATCAGAGATATAGTACAGGATGAAGGACTGACGTTCGTATTTTCGTACTGTTGGCTCAAGTATCTCAGGCCATGGCAGGTCTCTCAGAATCTTGTATACGTGCTCATACTTTCGTTGCCAGACAGCGCGCAATAACCTCAAACAGTTTTGAAGGGAAGCATCATTTTGCGCTAGGTCCTGTGGCATCCGCTTCGTCATCGCGCGGGCCTCGTAGCTACGCAATATTGTGTTAGTAGGCTGCGTGTCTGCGATGAGAATTTGTGAGACTCACATATCGTCAAGGAGAAGGTGGGAGAAGAAGAAACTCGAATAAAATAAGCTCAAAAGTTCCGCTTCTTCGCTATTCGACATTGAAAGGAAACAGGCAGGGCCCTCGTATTGTGACAATGTCTCGTAGAGCTCAGAAGACGAACGAGCTAATGCGAGTACCGCAGACAGCTGCTTCTGAGAGAGAGGCGGTAGATCCATTATGGAAATATTCTCCTAGCCACTGTCTGTCGGACTATGATGGAAACAGCGGTACTTTGTCAATCGTGTTATTGTAGATGATGCGTAGGTCAAGTTGCGATGCCGATGCGGGGACAACTCGGAGGTTTCCCCAAAGCTTCTCCGATAATCGATTTAGTTAGATGCGGATACGGACTACCTTACGTAGACTGACTGCGTACCTGATGCCAAGCCTCCAGAAGAGACCACCTTGCGAAGCTCTCCCCCCAATCAATACATTGGCGAGACGAAACGTCCAACTACCTCTCTCTCATCGGCTACAGAGTACGACGAGAGAGACATACTCTCTTTCCTTTTTCTTAATTGATATTTTTTTCTTATTTCTCTGGCCATTATGGCCGAAACACCTGTTGATGTTCTTTTAAAGGGCAAGTCTGGCAGAAACACACGCGGCCTTCTGCGGATTATTATCCTATGTACCATTGCAGCAGCAGCAGTTGCCAGTCGACTCTTCAGCGTTATCCGTAAGTCATTGGGAATCGAAATTGCTCATTTTGTTAATTTACCAAAACAACTGATCAATTTCCTTTTACCAGGCTTCGAGAGTATCATCCACGAATGTATGTATAGGTCAATTGTATACCCACGGCCTTCGGCCTCCAACAAACTTCGCGTAAGAACGAATTGATACTGATGCTCCATGATATAGTTGACCCTTGGTTCAATTTCCGAGCAACAAAATACCTGGTACAGAATGGTTTCTATAGCTTTTGGGATTGGTTCGATGACCGTATGTGGTTCCCCACCGATAGGAGTGCATATGAAGCATTATGTCGATCTCCTTGAGTGCTTCTAGACTAATTGGTGTTCCAACATAGGGACATGGCATCCTCTGGGACGTGTCACTGGTGGCACGTTATATCCCGGTCTCATGGTGACGAGCGGCGTGATCTACCATATCCTGCGATTCCTCACTATCCCCGTCGATATTCGCAACATCTGTGTCCTGCTGGCACCAGGATTCTCCGGCCTGACTGCATTGGCAATGTACCTGCTGACATCTGAGATGTCCCCTTCGTCCTCTGCTGGTCTTCTTGCGGCAGCTTTCATGGGAATTACCCCTGGATACATTTCCCGATCCGTCGCGGGAAGCTATGATAACGAAGCAATTGCCATCTTCCTGCTTGTGTTCACATTCTTCCTATGGATCAAGGCTGTCAAGCATGGGTCTATTATGTGGGGAGCGCTGACTGCGCTTTTCTACGGCTACATGGTGTCGGCATGGGGTGGATATGTCTTCATCACGAACCTGATCCCCCTGCACGTTTTTATCCTTTTGTGCATGGGTAGATACAGCCCTCGCATTTACATCAGCTATACCACATGGTATGCGCTGGGGACTTTGGCTAGCATGCAGATTCCCTTCGTCGGATTTTTGCCTATTCGAAACAGCGACCACATGTCCGCCTTGGGTAGGTCTATGCTTTCGCAGGTCAAATGGACGTTCAGGAGCTGACATTTGGCAGGTGTCTTCGGCCTGCTTCAACTTGTGGCCTTCGCCGAGTTTGTCCGCGGTTTCGTCCCAAGCAAGCAGTTCCAGAGACTTCTGACCGCCATGATCTTCATCACCTTCGGTCTGGGTTTCCTAGGGCTTGTTGTTCTGACGGTGACGGGAGTGATCGCTCCTTGGAGCGGCCGATTCTACTCCCTGTGGGATACTGGCTATGCCAAAATCCACATTCCCATCATTGCCTCGGTCTCGGAGCACCAGCCCACCGCTTGGCCGGCGTTCTTTTTTGATCTGAACTTCCTGATCTGGCTTTTCCCGGCAGGAGTCTACATGTGCTTCCGCGACCTCAAGGACGAGCATGTCTTCGTCATTATCTACTCGGTCCTTGCGAGCTACTTCGCCGGTGTCATGGTCCGACTGATGCTGACCTTGACCCCTATTGTGTGTGTTGCGGCTGCTCTGGCGCTGTCTTCGATTCTCGACACCTATATGGCGACCACTTCCCCGACGCCAACATCTGAAGCCAAATCGAATGAAGACGCGTCTTCAGAACCACTTCGCTCGGTTCGGAAGCCGAATGTTGGAATCACCTCTTATGTTTCCAAAATTATAGTGACGGCGTCTGTTGTCGTCTACCTGCTCCTGTTTGTTGCACACTGCACCTGGGTTACTTCAAATGCATACTCTTCTCCTTCCGTTGTCTTGGCTAGCCGGATGCCTGACGGAAGCCAATACATCATTGATGATTACCGTGAGGCTTACTACTGGCTTCGCCAGAACACTCCCCAGAACGCCAAAATTATGTCATGGTGGGATTATGGCTACCAGATCGGTGGCATGGCGGATCGCCCAACCCTTGTCGACAACAATACATGGAACAACACCCATATTGCCACGGTTGGTAAGGCGATGAGCTCACGCGAAGAAGTCAGCTACCCCATCCTCCGCCAGCATGATGTTGATTACGTGCTGGTGGTGTTCGGTGGTCTGCTAGGTTATTCTGGCGATGACATCAATAAATTCTTGTGGATGGTCCGTATCGCCGAAGGTATCTGGCCCGATGAGGTCAAAGAACGGGACTTCTTTACTGCACGGGGTGAATATCGTGTGGATGATGGAGCGACCCCAACCATGCGCAACAGCCTGATGTACGGATTCCCCTTTTCCCTCGTATCTATTGCGCTGCGTCGTGCTAATTCAAAAATTCAGGTATAAAATGTCTTATTACAATTTCAACTCTCTCTTCCCGTCAGGCCAAGCTGTCGACCGCGTCCGTGGGTCGAGACTTCCCACAGAAGGCCCCCAGCTTTCCACCCTTGAGGAAGCTTTCACGAGCGAGAACTGGATCATTCGTATCTACAAGGTTAAGGATCTTGACAACCTTGGCCGAGACCACAACCAGGCTGTTGCCTTCGACAAAGGTCTTAAGAAAAAGCGGAGTATCAAGAAGAAGGGACCTCGGGTTCTGAGAACCGAATAGAGGACAGGATTCAAGCATTTCTTTTTGACTAGTTTATAGCACGACAGGAGCGCAAATCATACCAATACCTGTTGAGCATATTTTTACATTCCCGTGTTGTATTCCAGAAATCTTATTATACCTTTGAGAGTCCAGCGGAGACAAATGCTGGTCTAGATTCGAAAATACCGGCCTTGCCCAGATAAAATGATTCCGTAGATGGCAAGGCGATTTAGAACTGATTCACAAGCAAGCTGCGGGCTCAATTCATAAAGAATAGGTGAAGATCGGTATGCTAAAATGTAGTAGAAAAAAAGAGGGGAGAAGAGAGTGAGCAGAGTGATGTGCCTTCATTCGAACTGTTGTTGCCGTTACCTGCCTCTTCAAGATCATCCAAACCATTGAAGTGCAACATTTCTTTTGCGATCCGGCAACTCCGGAGTGAAGACTAGATCTTCCACCAAATTGACGGCTTTCATGGGGCGAGTTGGTTGCACACAGCCACCGAAATAATTCCAAATATAAGAACAGCATAGAGATATACAGCGAAAATAATCAGTTTGTCACCTTGTACTCCGTACCCCAATACACCATGGCTGATACAATGATCGAACAGTTTGGCCACAGCGGCCTTTGAATAGCTCCCAACTCGTGGTGAGCTAGGTAGAAGGAGACGGGATGGCTCATTGCTTCTGCTGCTGAGGTTTCGCGGGAGTATCGGGGACCTTCACGTCGGAGAATTCGTCCTGGCCAACTGCGCGGATGGTGTATGCATCTAGGA